GCTGTTTAATGAGGATAAATGAGGAGTGCTGTGTCAGCTTAGACACTGGCAATAAAGTCCCAGTAAGCAAGCAGGCTGCCCCTTCTATCTTCTGTCTCAGGATCCATTTTTATACTCTCTCCATGACCTAGAGCTTCATACCTCCAGCCACTCCCTCCTTTCAGTAAATGCCCTTTTGTGTTTCTGAATGCATTTCTTCCCCTTCAAGTGGTGCTGTTTTATTTCCCTGTCTTCAAGAAAAATAAGCACTGCCCTCCTTTGCCACTGGCTTTATTACAACTCTGCCACATTATCATTTGCTTCCCTAAGAGATCTCTCACTTTTCATCTCTTCTCTAATTGTATTCTTGCCATGCTCTGAAAAGCCTCACCACAGATGCTATTCATGTGCTCTCTTCCTTGCCTTTGCCTTGCAGAGGTTTTCACAGTTCTCCCCTTTTAATTAATTTTGTGCTTGATATGCTTGATCTCTGAGAATATAAACAGAAGAAGCTTTTATTGAAAAATTTTGTATTTATATGTATAAACTTATATTTATAATTATAAATTTATATATGTTTATATTTTAATTATATTTATAAAGTTTATATTTATAAAGTTTATAATTGTTTTATTTATAAACAGGCAGGGCAAGTAGAAGACACCAAGGGCTGTTGTACACACATAATATTGTGGCATGCCAAATCAGGGAGAGGTGGTGGGAGTTTTGCTCCTTTGAGTCCATGACAAAAAATTATATTAATTTTATTTGAGCCTTATTTGCCACCAATATTTTTGGGACAGTTTGAGAACTACCAAATATGACCATGCATGGGAGTGGGATGTAGACAGGTCAGAAATTTTTCTGCCTCATGAAAGATTCTCAGGGACAACCAATTTTACCTGTGATTTTTTTTTTTCTGGAGCAGGTGACCTGGAAAAATACAGAGAGGATAGGGTCCCTGCTCTGTGCTTTTTATCACTGGCTGGAGGATGTCCACAAGGGGACAAGCATTACAGAAGAAAAACTGGGATTCCTGTATGCCTGACTCAAGCAGGACTGGGGCACTTCATGATTTTTAGGACATGGAAACTTTCTGATTATTTTTGTAGCACAACAGAGTCATGAGAAGTAGATATTGATACTTAATTTAACTTCCTAGTGCATAGAACTCTCTTTCATCTTTTTCCCAAGGACTCTCCACTTCTTTTGCCCTCTTCCTTCCACCACAGCTCTAATGAAACTGTGATGAGTTGTCTACTTGAGCTGGTGAACCAGTTTCCAAACACTTGAATCTTTAACAAAGGCCCATTTTCTCAATATGACACTTACAGGCAACAAACAACAGGAGTTTATATTACATCTTTCTACCAGGAGCACTCCAAAGCCACTTTGGATGAATAGTTTCTACAAAGAAAATGGAAGCAGATTTTTTGCTCCTGTAAACTGATTTAACACATTTGAAACTGATAGCACTGCTTTGCATAAGCTGAGAATGTGAACCAGCGTGTCTTGCTCTGTGTTACAAAGAAAGTTGGTTGTAATAATGAAATGACTTACGATTACACTAGCATTTTTTCAAAGTCGTTGTACAACTCCTGTGGTGCTTCTACACCAGTTTTTCCTGCAGATCTCAGTAAAAAATTGCATAGACTGTGCTGCATCCCCACCCCAGACCACTGTCCTCAGCCCTGGCTAGCTCTCTTGTGGGGCAAGTAGGGCAAGTGGAAGCACTCTCTGCTGTTCCGCAGCTGGGCTCTGGAGGATGTGGGTCCTGAGGTCGTTGCTGATTCTGACGGCAATGAAATGAGGAGAGGCACTTGTCAGGGGCAAAACTCCCATGTTTATTGAGGTCCTGAGGATCCAACAGCATCGAAGGGGACCAGCCAACAAGAGCAACTGAGGGGTGCTGGCAGCATGTTATATAGGGAGAAGGAGGGGAACCGATCAGCCAATAGGGAAACACAAAGGAGTGGCTCTTGTGGCGATTGACATATGTGGGATCCAGTGAGGGATAGACTGTGGAGGGGCCCCAGGCCCTCATCCAATCACTTGGAGCCCTGGATGGAAGTTTCTAGAGGTAGGGGAAGGGACAGCGAGTGATGGACAAGGCACCTGGGAGGGGACAGGGGAATGCATTTTCTAGGGAGACTGACACATGAGGGAAGGCGAGAAAACTCAGGGAGAAACCAATGCGATACGGGGGTACACTGGAACAAACCAAGACAGAATAAAAATGTAATAAAACATATAAAAATGCAACTCCACAAGACCGTTTGATATGCCACTCTTCATTTTAATTTCAATGCTTGCTGTTAGCTCTTAACCCCCTATGTTAGTGTACCAGTGCTGTGGTTCATGAATTGTTCATAAAAGGACAAACACATATTTTTTATGCTGACATCTATGCTTTCTTTTGCTCTCTAGAGCTTGCCAGATGGTGTGTGCTGAAGCGCTTTGAGTAGGGTCTTGTCACTGATCCCCTCAAGGTCACTGGAACATTTTTCCTACTCTGCCTGTAACAGTAGCATTGTTCTAAAATTATGTGCATGCATTTTGTTACAGAACACCAAATAATGCTGTCATGAGCTCACACAACTTGCACACAAACTGCCGGTAACTCCACCAATCAAACTTTCCTTGACACAAAATAAATTTAACATATGAGATAGCTCAGGAGCCTGGTGGGAAATGGTACCATGAGATTGAGTGGGGTGAAGGTTGAGGTTTGTCACTGCCAGAGGAGGACGAATTTCCACCTTGGAAAGGCATCTTATCCCAGGTCATACATTCTTCACTACCAAAAGTGAATTAAGATCATACATTGTCCCAAGGGACATCATCTCATCCATACCTTGAGGGCAGAGTGTGAAATTCCCTCATAAATTCCTATAATATGGAGGATGGCCAAATAAGATTTGAGCAGATCTCCACAACTTTTATGAGCAAAGGATGCTCAGAAGAAAGAGGACAACAATCAGAAAACAGCACTATTCCTCCATCACATTTGATGTTTTCATTATTTACAATCTCAGGGCAAGATTAATAGTGAAAGTATTCTAATTTGGAAAACATTGAACTCTTGCAAACTGAGACAAGATAACAATATCTCACTGAATAAGTAAGGTTGCAAGGGACCACTGGAGGACATCTGGTCCAAACCTCTTCCAAAGCAGGATTCCTTAGAGAGTTCTACTAAGGATTGTCCCCAGGGAAGACGACTCCGATATTATTAAACAAAAAGTGTCTAAAAAAAGTTACACCCTACCAGAGCTCGTGAATATCCTATATTTTGTTTTTAAGACTTCCTAAGTTTTTTTTTCATAGATGCTGTAATCCATAGGAGCAGAGCTGGAGAAGTTATAGATGAAACAGTGACAGAGGCATCCTAGAAAAGTTTGACCCTTTGACAGCAGACTGGGGTGATTCCCAGAGGATCCTGCCTGCCCAGGAGGAGGTTAGGGAGGAGTCTGGTCTTCTGGCACTGCATGGTGCCAGCCTGGTGGAAAAAAAAAAGCACAGAGGCAAGAAAGGGGGACATCTCACAGATGAAGCACCTCATGCCCTGACCTCATCCAGACACAGAAACCAAACACCCCCAGCTTTGCTCCCCAGTGCCTTGCTACCCCATGGCTGTGAGTTGGTACCACCAAAACACAGCAGAGTTGTGCTGATGGGAGGTAAACCTCAAGAAAGAGCTGGCAGAAGAGGAGAACAGTCCTGAGATACTGCAGCAGCAAACACAAATTTTGACAGCTTACAGAGGCTTCTTAAGGAGCTTTACCACAGACCTTTTACTAAAACTTGATTAGAGTTGGAGACCAGTAACTTATACATCACAGTTTCTGATAAAAAACTGAACAGAAATGTCAGCACTTTTGAAAGCTGTCAAAGGTGGTGCTATGCATGTCTCAAATAAGAGTGAGAAGGAAAAGAAAATAAGATCTGTTGTAGTTGAGATCTTTGGAGCAGACCTACTACAGTAAAATGAAGCAACAGCTGTCAAAACAGCTGCCAGAGGAGTTGTCTTTGCAATTGGACGAGTTGGTTCCACCAAGGCAGTTCACCCCACTAAGCTCCAGAACAGAAGAATGAGAGAGGATGCTAAGTTATGTATCATGCCTGGGCATCACTGACTTCTCCAGGAGGGAAGATTTAATTTCCACAAGGTTGCTAAGCCACTGGTGAAGGTGGTGAACTCTCTCTTGGGAGGAAAAAGATGAAAACTGGCATTGCTGTGGAGGAGCTCATGGATGTTGAGGCTGACTGCCTGCAATGGCAGCAAGACTGCTCTCAGCAGCAACTTGGAAAGGAAACTTGAAACCATGCAACAAGCTGTGGCCTGTGCCATTGTCACAGCGTGAGGCTCCACTGGATGGAAAATACCCCTTGGCCTACAGTCCTTCCTCTCTAATGCTCAGTGAGGAGAGAGTTGGCTCTCGTCACCCCCTTGTCAACAGCCCAGTCCCTGGGACTGCCTTCCCTGCAGGGATCTGGAGAGGGATGCTCCATCTGCTTCTGGAGCGGAAATCCCATCTGGGGGGCAAGTTCTACTCTATTGGTGCCTGAGGACACAATTTGGACCAAAGATATTTCTGTCCATTTAGTGATAGGCACAGCACTAAAGCCCCTTTCTGCCTGTGGGGCCCATGGCACAGTCCATTTTTAACTTTTAAGGATATTCTGGGAAAAATATAAAAAAAAAAAAAAAAAGAAAATAAAAGAAAGAGAAAGAAAGAAAGAAAGAAAGAAAGAAAGAAAGAAAGAAAGAAAGAAAGAAAGAAAGAAAGAAAGAAAGAAAGAAAGAAAGAAAGAAAGAAAGAAAGAAAGAAAGAAAGAAAGAAAGAAAGAAAGAAAGAAAAAGAAAGAAAGAAAATAAAAAAGAACAGAACCAAAACATGTTTTTATCCATTACCATAAAGATGGCTTGTGAATGCATGGTATTAGTATCCCAAAAGCTATTAAACTCCCTAGTGATGGGAAACAGATGGAAAATAAGACAAAAGAATTCACAACTCATGTTAGACTGAATTGGATTCCTTTAATTTCACACAATGAATAACATATGAATAGGATTAACTTTTTTTTTTTTCCTTTTTTTTTTTTTAGTTAAGTGCTCTATACTGTGCTAACCTGATTTGGTAGCAAAAAGACTGAGCTTTGTTTTAGAAAAAAATGTTTAAAAACCAACATCTAAGATCATGAAGGAGCATGACATTAAAGCATGCCAGATGTATCTAAGCCTCAAAGAACATCAAGTCCATATCCATTTTTAAATGTACAAAAATGCTTCATGAATAAAAACTGTTACAAAAAGAACATTTCAAACAATGTACAAGTTTTTTTCTTGCCTCTATATTCAATAAAATACAAATACATTTTTTTGCTCTAAAATATGTTTACATACAATCAAAGTAGAACATGCAAATTACACTTTAAAAAAGGCTTTTAAAAACCACTTATGAATACAAACTAAAAATTAGCCAGCACGACTTATAGAACAATCTTGTGCCCCATTTGTTTGATTTTTTAATTTTTTTGAAATACAGTATATACATATTTAACACTTCATGTGCATTTATTATTTAAGAAATAGCTTAAAAAATAAAGAAAAAGAAAAGTAAAACAAACCAACATGGGATTGAACTGCTTCCCCATGTTGTCCAATTGGCAGCTCTTTTCATGTTTTTTTTTTTTTTCTTTTTCTTTTTTTTTCTATGTAGTGTTTTACGCAACCTAGGCAGGCATCTTAAGGAGATCTCCAATATGTGTTTTCTGTTGAAATGTGCTTCTAATTATCTCAGAACTGCTGCACCCCAGTTTTTGGATGATATGGAAAGAAGAGGCACTACAAGGGCAAGATGTTTATATTTTCAATTCAGAAAACCATCCTGATTTTGTTTTTTTAGATTTTTTTCCTTTTTGTTTTGTTTTGTTTTGTTTCCCTTTTCCCTGTATTATTTTGGTTGTTCATTAAACTCTTCAGGATGTTCCTTAGATGTGCTTAAGTGCAGTCCTGAATCAAGGCCTGTGAAAATAAGGGTTAGGGAAATCCTTGTGTTTGGAACAGCGATTTCTGTTTATTTGGTGTATTTACTGTAATGCTCAGAGTCCTCGTGATGAACTGGCAACCCATTGCACCAGATGCTACCCAAATATTCACAATTGGAATATTCCATTTTCTACAACATTTCTGCCAAATGGGCTATGCTGTAAGATACTTGGGTAGTTGACAACTATTTTCACCTCTTTTAAATTTATTTTTTCCATTTTTTTATAATCCAGAAACATTCAAGGTGCTTCACAGAAAATTTAATATTGAAGGGCTCAAGAAACTGGCAGCATGAAAATCTTGGAGACACAAGTGGTAATGTTTTTTTTGTGGTTTTTTTGTTTGTTTTTTTTTTTTTTTTTTTTTTTTTTTTTTTTCCCTCTCTCCCTGAATATTTATCCCCATTTCTGGTTTTACACTGGATTGAGGAATAAAAGACCCACAGAGTGGATGCAAACCCGTGGCCTTATTTCATATGGCTCAGAGCCACGTGAGACTGTTTTGTGTTTTTATTGAAGCATGCTCAGATGTGTGCTAATCTGTGACACAGTGGTGTTTGAAAGGTTTTTTTTTTTGGTCTTATTAAGCAAAAGGGCTTTCACCCCAGTTTTATACAGTATTTGGAAATGTGTGGAGAGAATCTAGAGAGTTCCTCAGCAAATCATCCTTGTGGTAAGGGAAAAAAAATCAAAAAGCTCATTACTGGAATATTGTTGAGTAATAAATGGCATGAGTGGGATTTTAGCCTTAAGCCCTAAAACTAAATTCTTTATGATCTGCATGTAGTACATCGCCTTAAAATATTATTCTGTCAGCAACTTGCTTATCATCTTTATAGACTATGCAACATGCAGAACACAAATTCTGAGTGCCCTCTAACAATATTTTCAGTCTGCTTTTTATGATACTAACAAGTTACTCTCCCTGTCAGCCCAGGGCCAGCTGCATGAGGGTGTTGTGGGGACAAACAGCCAAAGCTGAACCACAGCACCACGCTCCACCAGCACTTTCTTGCCATGAAAACACAAACCTTGATCTTCTGGATAGACCCCATCCCATGCTGAGAGCTTTTAGCACCAAGTCCTGAACTTAGTTTCTCTAGGACAAATAGGACCTCTTCATGGTTTTTTCAGTGAAGGGCCTGTGAGACTGTTCCCTCCATGTGGATGCTCTCTTTAAACACTGTGCTTGTGCCTCTAGCGGCCTTTTGGATAGCACTTTTTGAAAGGATAAGAGCATTCTTTTCCCAAATCTCAGGAGCATGAGAGGCAGCAGCCACTCAATTATCCTTCCCTAGGGCAGTTTTATCCCAGTGTGTCCAGAAAGGTCCAGCCCAAATCCAGCCCTTATGGGCACTCTGACCCTCTTGAAGCCATGATAGGTGTTCAATGACAGAATTTATTGCCTTCAGACCTTTTATTCACTCACTACACGTTGAAATATCCCTCAACACTAGGAAGGACATCACTGGAGATAAAACTAAGGATAAATTGTTGTCTGACTTAATTTCAGCTATCTGGAATACCAAATTTATGATTTTTTTCTGTCATTTTAAGTGATTGTTACCTACTTTCAAGCCCAAAGGAGATTGGGAATATAATATTTATAAATTAATTAAACCTCAATCCAATGCTTTTAACGGAAGAAGAGAGGAGTTCAATGAGGTTTAGGGTTTTTTTTCTGCAGGCCTACAACTTCAGTCAATAACACTGCTAATTCAAGAGAGCTGAAAAGCAAAATTGGTTTTAACAGAACGAGCAAACAGCCAATTTATTTCTAAGCTGCATTAATTGGAAAACAAAAAGCACAAATAGGTATGATGAACGATGCAAAACAAATTGGAAACAAAATTCTGCGATCCCTCTTATCAGTTTTAAGGAGTTAGGACCTCAAAATTTGTTCCAGTCTTTAAAAAATAAGAAAAAATACATCCCCTCTTCCAGCTCCCCGACGCAATCCTATCCCCATATGCGTTCAGTTTTAATAAGCTAAGGTGCTATCACAGAAGAAAAATCAGTCTCTAAAAAACAACGAGTTGTATGTTTACAGTGTTCCTCTAACACCATAGTCTTGATATGATTTTTGTAAATAAATAACAGAATAGAAACACAATATTTTTTTGTGGGGACATTTTGTTTGGTTTGTTTTTTTTTTTTTTTTTTTGTTTTTTTGGTGGGGTTTTTTTTTGGGTTTTTTTTTTTTTTTTTTTTTTTTTTTTTTTTTTTTTTAGTGTCGTGCTATATGAAGCTTCCTTGGCAATAAACCAATTCAAGATTTCTCGAAAAAGGGAATAGCATTTGGCTTGTCAACCATTAAGTAATTCCAATTCCCCCTCCCTTGGTTGAATCTTCCCTCCCTGTTCCCATTTTAGTATCCATCTTGCCGTGCTAGGTGTTAAGTGCACCGCAGGATTTTAAAAGAAAGGAAATAAAGTTGGAAGTACCTATTTCAAATTTCAACAATTTACTTTCTTTTTTAAAAGCATTGACACTGCAATGGAACAGCTTTTTGTTCAGTCTTTTTTTTTTTTTAGCAAAACTTTTTAATTGGGCTGTGGATATGGAGCTTGGGTATTTTACCAAAGTTTAATCAATGGCTAACGGACAACTTGAATGAGAAATGTACAATTTGAACTGACCATTTAAAGAGACGATTTGTCACACACGGTTTGCATCCATGCAGACTGAGAGCTTTATAATTACATTATGTACAAAAAAAAAATTATTTTTTATTTATTAAGGCAACCACAACTTGGAGAACATGTCCAAAGTGGCATTAATACAACTGCAGTGGTGATACCCTTTGAACATTTTTATTTCTATTTTCAGATAAGAACACTTATTCCTTTTCTTTTTTTTTTTTTTCAGAAATAATTGCCAAGAAAGGATCTATTATCCATAGGGTTTGTTCTATAGTTTTTAAAAACAATCTATTTTACCTATTTTCTTTAAAAGATAATATCAAGGCATTGCTACCCAAAGCAAATTATTAATATTCTGATTTTCCCATTAATTTCACTGGGAATTGCAGATGGTAAAAACTTAGTAGATTTGGGTCCTGATTTTTATTCTATTGTTTTCCTGTCCTATTTTTTTCCTTTTATCTTTTTTATATTCTTTTTTTTTGGTGACTTTTTTCCATGTTTACTATAACTATTCCCCAGAAGTGTCTTGCTGTTCTCTACTCATGTACTGAGCATCAAAACAACTTGGCTGATGGATGACCCCTTTTTCACATGCCATTGCCAAGTTGCTTCATATAAACGTGCTATTGTACCGAATATCTGTGTATACCTTATTTGAAATGGTGTAATATTCCATAGTTTCTTGGGATAGCACTCGGAATGAATGTGCACGCGTGTAAGGCTCTAATTTTCTATTGCCTATATTGCAGCTAGTTGTAACTAGGCAAGTAAATGAGAAAGAAATATATAGTTCTAGCAGGAGCCAGGCATTTTGGCTTATGCTGTCCCAAAGCCTGGTAGGTATATAAAACTGGAAAAGAAATCAAATAGGTTATAACCAATATCACAGTTGAGAAAATTACATTATTTTTTGTTGGGTTTTTTCCTTCTTTGTTTCTCTCTTTGTTTCTTTGTTTCCTTTTTTTTTTCTTTTTCCTTTTTTTTTTTTTTTTTTTTACAGTGATTTATACTATGGTAAAGTTACTCTTAGTTTCACCTGGCCCACCAAACAGAATCAGAGTCGAGCATGCACCCTTAGTGACAACATTCAGCTATCTGCGAGGATGACTTCCAGCCTCTGGGTACGGTATGAGAACAGCAATGCTGAGATTCAGATTAGTTTTGGAAACTCGGCAGAGTTCATGCTTTTTCCAGCTTTGACACACATCCTCCTCCCCTGTATCCCCCACTTTTCCCGCGCCTTTTCCCCCTCTTTCCTTGGGGGGGGCTTGGGTCAAAGCGATGAAGAGGAAAGATGCGTGTCCCAGCTGGCACAGCTCTCTGCAATGAGTTCTGGCTGCTGAAGGGACAGGTCAGTCTGGTGCTGCCAAAGGGGTGAGGCGGACTGTGCACCTCCTGTCCCCCAGTCATGGCGTGCTCTACTGTGGGCACCCAACATCTGACGAGGTGCACTGGCCTTAGGGAAGGCCTTCACTTTCGCTCCCTCTGCCTTTCCGGTGCCGCTTCACTTTCACGTCCTCCTCTTCCTCCTGCGGGGACTTGTTTTTCCTTTTTCCAACCCGGGGCGCCCGGGGTAGAGGGAGAGGGAGTGGAGGGGGTGGAGGAGGCAGAGGAGGCGGCAGCGGTGGTGTCTCTCGAGCCATGTGTATGACAGCCTCGATGGTGGCCATGATTGTATCTTGAGTGGCTGCTTGCTCCAGTATTAACGGGTTGAGTGTTGGTCTCTGACCTCTTTTGCTTGGAAGGTCAACACATTTTTCCAGAACGGGCATTTGGTCTCTGGAGTCTTCGTCAAAAGAAAGGGGTTGCTTCCGAGGACGTCCCCTCCTCTTCTTCACAAAGTTATTGCCTGTCTTTGATTGTCTCTGCAGCCTCTTGGCTTTCAGGATCTTGTTCACATGATCCAGGTTCTTCTTTGTGGACAGGATCTTGGTGTAGTTGCACATCTTGCGCACCTCGCACTGGATTGCTTCAATTTCACGGCGCTTGAATCTTTTCTTCAGTGGTGAGCTGGCTGTTGGGAGACAAGGAGAGAAACAGGGGTAGGTCAAACAACAGTGATTGGAAACTCTTCTTTTACCCCTTCTAGCATCAGGAAGAGCAGATGAAAGTACAAGTTTCATATAAGCAGTCTTCACAGATTTCTCTCTGCCTGTTCCCTCTTCTAAAGTAACAAAACTTTTGCTATAGCAATGTTTTAGTGTGACTTTGCTTCATTCTCATTTTTCAACTTTTAATAGGAGAGAAGCAAGCTTAGCATAGCTTTCATATTGGTCCAAATTAAATATTAGACCTTCTATACCCCAAGGATATAATCCTGATATCTTCAATTCAGCCTTTAATTCTCGTCATGAATGCCAGTTACTATGAAAAGTGTTTGTTGCTGAAACTAGTAGGCAGAGACAAGATATGTAGGTCACTTCATCTGTGGCAAATTCATTACCCCTGCCTGGGTTTCTGTACTATCATCTCTTCAGATACTAGTTGAAACTACTCAGCCATATAATTTACTTTAATGGCCCCCAAAGTAAGCTTACTCCTGGTTCAGATCACTTTAGATCTGAATGAAGTTCAAAGGAGTTAAGTTTCTTGCCAAGGTCATGTTGTGAGTCATTGTCAGAGCTGGGAAGAGTACCCAGAATTTCTTGGCTCCTTGTCCTTTGCTTAGGACATGAGACCTTTCTTGTTTTCCTTAAATTGTCTCATTGTCCTTTCCTGAACATGGCATCTGTTCAGAGTTCAGGATTTGCACACAGATTAGAAGTAACTACCCCTTTGTGAGGGAAGCAGAATGTATAAATTCTGCTATTGCAATAACTGCTGCTCCCTTTCACTTCTAACATATCTGTTCTGTGCTGCTGGGAAAGAAATGATGGAACTCTAAGTTTCTTTTTTGGTAAAGAATAAAACATCCCCCTAAATTAACCTTAGCCCACATCTACTTGCAAACTTAATTTACACCTGACTGTCAAGCAGTCATTTAGGTTTGAAATCCTTGAAGTTTCCCCGAGAAGGCAAGGTTTTGAGAAAGGTTCATTTGGAGGTTATCTCTGCCTTCATGGCTAACAGGCTAATCTTCCAGCAGTAGTTTAAATAAAGTTGCTATTGTAGCATTTTCTGTAGATAACCAGGAGCTGTCAAGTTGTAGAATCTCCTCTTGCTCTCTATGGGCTGTGACAGATTCAGCATATAAACCTCATTCACTGGCCTCCCCACTTGGAGAACAGAAATTATTGGCTCATATACCACCATGTTTCTTGGATTCAGCGAAGAGCTTGCATAAACAAACCCAAGTTACAATGTAAGAAGTAGGAGTGAGTCATAAACAAAACATAGACATATGCTCTCTTATAAATAAAGACCTGGGATGGCCAACTTCCCAAAGTCTGGTTTTCATTAATTACAAAACAAAATACATTTTCCATATGTAACTCACTCCCCACACCAAAAAGGAAAATAAAACCCATTTGCAGTTTGTGGTTCACAAAGGACAAAAGAAAAGAGGAATGTAGTCATTTTGGTACCAAAGAAAAAGAGAAAGGAAATTAAACATCCAAGTTGCTCAGGAGAAGCTAATTAGTTGCACAAAATTCCTCCCAAGTAGGTCACCCCTAAAAACTGTGGATTCAAGATCCCTAAAGGCAAGTGGCAGCAAGCTATTTCCCAGAAATTTGATCAAAAAAGGTTAAGTCCCTGTCACAGAAAATGATTATTCTCATTTGTTCTCACTGGTGATTGACATAAGTACTCCAAATAACTTCAGCCTTAAGTATTCAAATCCTTTGAGTCCCACCCATATCCTGAGAGTAGCTTCAGGTCAGAACATCTGGAAAATTAAACATTTGGCACACTCTTCAAATTTACTGTCTACCTTTTGCCTTTTATGTCTAATGTCAGGGCACATTTTCAAATCCTATATATTTTTTTAATTTCAATATTTGAGGTGCTTCTTTTTTTTTTCTGAAAGTAAAACTGAAATTTTTCAGTTGGTGATTAACAATGGAAAATTGAGGAGAAATACAGAAAAGCTTGCAAGGTGTCATGATGATACCAGGAGATTTGGCTTTACTCTCAATTTTCATTGGAGAGAAAGTAAGCCAAGGAACTGGGGAAAAAAAATGGAAATAAAGCATTAGCCAAGTCCCTTCAAAGACATTATGTCTTTACTGAGATTTATGTGTAGCCAGTTGTTTCTGCAGACTGGTGTTAGCGCCTGAAGGTGGTCAGTGGAGACCGGGTTTGTACAGTTGGTAGAGGACAACCTCAGCTTCTAAACTCTAAAATGGGAACTCAGTGCAATTCAAGATGACCTTGCACTGAACACCACTTTAAGTGTCTTCCTTCATGTTTAGATACTTTTTTTGCCCTTATGAAATTTGGCAAGCTCACAAGTCTGTTCCCTTTTGCGCTGAAACACATTTTCACATTTAGGAAAAAAAAAACTTCTGTGCCATTCTATGCTGTCTTACTGCACTAATTTTTCCTTTGAAAATGCTTTGGGGTGTTTATGGCTTTCTCAGGGAGCTTGTTAGAAGTTACAAGTAATTCTTTTTCTTCCTAGTAAGCCTCTGAACTTACAGGCTGTAGAAATAATTTCAGTTGTTACACAGTCTGCCAAAATGCATGTACTGGATAAGTACATATGCTTTCAGATCAGGATTTTAAAATTAGATATTAGGAAACCCAGCATTATTTTGATTATTGAATGTCAGGGACATCTGATTCTACATTTGGTGTAGGAAGACTATGCAGAAATAGTCTGATGGGTCTGCAGGGGGAAGCTTTGTTGAGGTGTGCCTATGATAAAATATCAGGGATATCTGCCAAAGTAAACTAGTATTGAAGTGAGAGCCATTAGGTGTTATCAATTCATCTGGAAGCTCTTGGTGAACAATCTTTGATATAAAATATTTTCCTATATTGCCACATGATATACTTCTCTGCTGAAAGCCAAAGTTAAGTATTAATCTTTTCCGTTTTATCCAGACAGACCCTGCCCAACCGTGGACCCAAGCTGGTCTGTGTTAGTCTTAGTTTCTTGGAATTTTTTCTGGTTTGCCTCCACTAAAAAAAAAAAATCCAGCCCAAAATGAAGGGAAAATAGAAATGCATGATGCAGCACACGTTTTTATACTTTTGCTTCATCCTTTCCCCATTCTCCAAACAACCCCACCTATCTGCCCCAAAACAAGCAAGAACCAATGTTAGCCGTAAACCACAGCATTACACCATTTCAAATAAGGCACACGGAGGTCTGGTGTTTCTCCCCTCCCCAGGGTCCACAGATGCAGTGAGGCTCAGTCTCAGAAATGGCTGCAGGCCATGCTGGGAAGCCATACAGGAGTGATATGATGCTGGAAACAGCTTTTGAAGCAAAGAGAGGTATTCCTACCAAAAATATATATTGCCAAAGGAGCTGAGAGGAGCCTGAAAGATCCACTCCAATACAGTGATGATGAACAAGGAGGTGAGCCTAGGTAGATCCTTTGGATGTCCTTCATTGGTCCCATGAGTTTATTCTGGATGGCTCTGTCTGAAGCTTTAAAGTCCTTCTTGCTGCCTGTCATTCTCCATCCCTTCAGAGCTGCCTGAGGCCACTTGCAAGAACATGGCACAGAGGAGGCTGCTCAAAGCTGGGGTCAATTTCTTGGCTTGATTTGAATGGGGGAATTTTCAAAGAGCTTCCTATTAATTACAGGAAACCCATAGCACTGTCCTGTTTTCCCATTAACACAGTTTCTTTCAGTTTTCAGATAAATTATTTCAACATCTGGGCTACAGATAAACCAACAATTTAATTAGACTTCTGCAAATGGAAAGAATGAACGATGCAGTCAAGCATACACTTTCATCTTGAAACGGATCATAAAATATTTGTGTGCTTTCCTTCTCTGCTTCTTTAAAAATCTGTTCTTGGTTTATATATAGGAAAGTTCTAAAGACTAAACAGGCAATTCTGATTTTTTTAATATAAAAATTTATCTTTACAGAGGCTAATTTCCAGCATGAAACCCTTGTTTTCACAATTTATTCAGGAAGTGAGAGGGAAATAAAAATAGGTGCATTGAAAAAGCACTTTCAGCTGAATTATTAAATATGCAATAATTCTGTAAGTCAGTGATACAAATATGTTTTTCATGAATGTGACATCAAAAGTTTGAAAAGAATATGAAACTCCTAATTGCTGTGTGTAGGGTAATGAGCTATGGGTTCCCCATTCCCTGGAAATTAAGACAAAATGCAAGATTAACCTCTCTATCCCTGCCCAAGAAATGGTATGATGATGCCTGAATGATTTGGCTCAATTTCCAATAGTATAAAGATATAATCTTTCTAATCTGATTCAAAATAGAAGCACAAAATATAAATTGATAAAAAAGCATGCTATCCTGACTTATTTATTCTGGTACTTTAAATCACTTCTCATTGCACCAGACAATTTTGCATTTGCAAGACAGAATATTATGCTAAAATCAATGAAGTATGCAGTAAGAAATCTCATCTGCTCCTCAGCTATTCACTGTGTTTTTGGTTTGCTCATGCTACAGGGATGGGAGCATTTAAAAGAAATGAAGAATGGGGCTGAGGAAGGAACCCAAGAGTCTTGATTCAGAATGTCCTCCTAGACCCTACAGGCTGGTGCTACTTGCATCCTCATTATTGCACAAGTGGTGGTGTGTGAATAGAATAGATTTGATGTGCCAAGATCTACAATCACGGTAAGAAAAACTGGAGATGTTACAGTCTGATTATCACATTAGATATTCACATTTGCATCTTCTCCAGTCAGGAAGAGAATTGGGTGAACATACTGTACGGCTCCAGAAGGAAGAAGAGGAGGAAACAGAGGGGGTGGAGTGAAAAGAGCATTACCTGCTTCAGATGTTGCTGATGATGAAGGTAGGAGAGATAATACTGGACTTGGCATTGCAACACTGTCAACAGCTGCTGGTTTCCTTCTAGTCATCACATTACAGGCAGAACTTTCCATTTTACCATGAAGTGAAGTCTGATCTGCTTTTAAGTGGGGACCTGCAATTCCTGGGGAAACAAAATTTGAATGAGTATTAGTACTGTAACATGTCTGGGGATATATCTGAAAAAAAAGATAAATCAGTTGCTGTCCTTGCTACATTGATATATTTCCATATTTCCTTGTGTATGTATCTGTAACACAGTCTTGATACAAGCAAGGATCATAATTGTTACCAATTTTTGATAATTTTGCTGAAGGATGTACCATCACTGGTCTCTATAAAAATGGTAAACAAACAAAACATTCTGCATTAGTAATTTTTCTTCTTGAAAAATACGCACACTCTGATACACATATAAAGAAAGATATCCTTCGTGACTCTCTTTAGTGGGAATGCCTATGTATCATTTCCTGTGTGTTCATTCTCCACACATAGTTACATACTTCTCTGCTATAAACACTTGACTTAGTGGGTGTTTCATCTGAGTAAGGAGCAGGCATCAGGAACAGCCTCAATATGCAATTCCTATCCGGAGCACGTTACATTTATTTTTCAGGAATTCCCTTCCTAATTAAATTTGCCTTGCAGCTCATCAAAGGAAAGAGAGTTAAAAAAAGAAAGAGTTGTTTGTCATATATCTTTCTACCTACGATTTACAATGCAGAATAAATAAATGGTAAAATAATGCCAAAGAGGTTAAATATTCCAGAAAAATAAAAGTTAAGCACTTATGGCTAGCAAATTTCTCCACTAACAGTATTTCTCAAACTTTTGTATAGTTTGTAACCATTTTGTTTGCTTGTAAATATGTGAAATTTAAACTTCTGGCATGGAAATTTGCAAACCTCTCCCAATCTCTGTGATATTGGGCTTCAACATGATTAGGGCAGATATTCATTTATCAGAGATAATCCTTCATAAATTCCTTTTTTTTTTTTCAGCTCATGAGCCTCAGATAAAATGCATCAGATTTGGGCAACTAAATTATAAATTATACAATGATTCAAAAAATCACAAAGCAGCTGAGGTTGAAAAGCTCCTCTTGAGACTACCTTGGCTACTTCATCCTGCTCAAACAGGGACATCCAGAGAAAGCTAGACCTCATTTGACCAAATGAGACTATCTCTAAGGAGGGAGAGTCCACAACCTCTCTCTACAAACTGTTCATCCCCTCAGTAAATCTACAGTGTTCAGGAATAACTTGTATTTCGGCTTGTGCCCATTTACTCTTGTTCTGTCACTGGGCAGCACTGAGAATAATCTGACTCCATCCTCTCTAATCTTTCCCATCAAATATTTGGATATGTCGAAAAATCCCCCCAAGCCTTCTCTTCTCCAGGCACAATGTCTCATCTCTCTGAGTCTTTCCTCATAAGAGAGAAAATATCCCAGATTCTTCATAATCTTTGTGGCCTCTGACTGGACCCTCTCTCATATGTCCATATTTTTCTGGCAAATCAGCCACTGCTCGGAGTTCTGAAATTCTCCAGATTTTTTGAGGGTGTTCTCTATCCCACCACCCTGCTCATTAATTGACATATTAAAAGTTTTTAGTCCCCATATCATGGCGTGCGCCGCTACTGACTGGTCTTTAAGTGAATTTTGTGATACCCATCACAACCCTCTGAGACTAGCCAGTTTTCAGTATACATTTATTCTGCCTGTGTTTCATCATTTTGTCTATAAGAAGATGATGTAACTCTGTGGCAGAACTCTTGCTAAAGTGAAGATAAGAAACATCAGATTGGTGAAGCATGATTTCCACTTCATAGATCTATGATAACTACTCCTTGTCATCTTTTCCTCCTTCATATGTTTGGAAATGCTCTTCACAATTATTTACCCCATGAAATTCTAGGGATTGAGGTGAGACTGCACAGCCTTGCTGCGTTCCTTGCTTTTTCTTCTTGACCTTATTGGACTGATATTTCTTCTCTTCTAGTCCTCAGAAACCTCTCCTGATCACCACAACCTTTCAAAAACAACCTAGAGTAGTCTCACAGTGAAGCCAGCGAGATTCTTCAGCCCCTTTGGGTACATCCTGCCAAATACAATGGATTTATGCATGCTCAGTTCATTTAACTGTTCCATAATCACATCTTCTCCAAGAGCATCTTTTCTTTCTGCAGCAGTATTCTGCCTGGGATTCTCAAAGGCCAGTCTCACCAGTAGAGATCATGGCAAAGAGGACAATCAGTCTTTCTGCTTATCTTTTTCAGCCAGGGTCCCTGTTTTATTAAGTAAGGGGCCCATATTTTCCATAGGCTATTTTTGGCTGCTTCATGTACCTGTCAAAAACATTTCTTGTTGATCTTCTGCCCTACATTCAACTCCAGATGGACTTTGCCTTCCTAAGCCCATCCCTGAGTGCCTGAACATTGTAGATCTAGTTCTAAGGGTCACTTGTTTCCATGTCTCTTTTGCTTCCTCTTTGTACCTGACATTACTCAGGAACTTCTTGGTCAATCATGAAAATCTCCTGACATCTTTGCTGAGTTCGATTTGCCACTCTGATCTGGTTTTGCCTGTCTCCACAACATTCCTGATCCAGGCCAGCAGCAAACCTCCTGGTACAGGTCAGCAGGTGGGAGCTTTTATTCCCTGCAGCACTGAATCCCCTCTGCCATCCCTGGCTACACCTGGATAGCACCTGGTCGTTCCTCAAAGACTTCCCACAGGTGCTCTGACACAGTCTGGGAAGCTCCCTAAGATCATCAAGTCCCACTGTTCCCCCACCACTGCCAAGGCCACCACTAACCCATGTTCCCAAGTACCACATCCACATGGATTTTAAACCCCCCCAGGGGATGGGAACTCCAGCACTGCTCCTGAGAGCCTGTGTCAGAACTGGACACCCTTTCTGTGAAGCAAGTTTTGTTAATATACAATTTAAACCTTCTCTTGCACATCTTTCCTCTTGTTCTATCCCTTGTTGCCTGGGAGTAGAGTCAGGCCTCCACCTGGCTGCACCCTTCTGTGAGGGAATTGTAGAGTGTGAGAAGGTCCTCCCCGAGTCTCTTTTACTCCAGACTGAGACCTCCCAGCTCTCTTAGCTGCTCTTGGTGCTCTGGACCCTTTTCCCTTTTGTGTCTCTTCACTGTGCTCAGCTTCTCTGTACACCAACCAAAAATTCCTCATATTTGCTCTTTGGAATCGCTATTTGGAACAGTCCCTATGAACTTAGGTTTCTAGCATGTAAAATTAGAAATATCAGCAGATCTGTGGGTTGTCTCAGAACCTGTGAAAGAGATCCCTATCAGATTCCGGTGCAGAAATGCTACAGTGAGAGGAGTCTGAAAGACTTGGATACAAATGTGCCAGTTTGGGATAGGCATCCTGATGAAACAATGACCTGATATCAACTGGTGGATTTAAGGGAGGCAAAAAGGGCAGCAATAGTCATCAGACAGTGTTACAGGTCACAGCTTGGTGGAGATAAACAGAGCAGTCTCTGCCTATTAGACCACACATCTTTCCAGAGCCTCAAATCTAGTACTAAGCATCTCAAAATGTATCCATTAAACTTCAATCTCTGCTCTGTTTCTCTAGTGCAAATGAGAACAATAATATACCACTCATCTCAAAAGCAGTCCTGTGAAAATAAAATTATCAACATTCATGAAACATTCATCTATTTATATGAAGGCTTAGAAATGTGGAATAAATGAGACATGATGTCATGCACTGAATAGCAAGAGGAAAATCCAGCTCCCAAATAGCTGTTCATTAGGTGAGTTCTATACATTGAATAAAGCAGTGTCCCATAGAATAAGTGAGATATTTGACTAGGTAATTACCCTTTGGAGCTCTGTGTACGTACACCTGAGGTTTCACCACTACACAGTGCTTGGGTTTGTGCCTTAACAATATTTATTCATGAGTGTAGTGGGTGCACAAGAAATGTGCACATGTGGGTGCATGTATCAATACACACACACATATATGCACATACATATGGTACATAATAATGCTAACAACCTCATAAATTCAACATATGGTTCTAATTAAACTGAAGGGCCTATATAAAGAGCCATATGAAAACATGCAGCTGTAACCTGTTGACCTCTATTGATACAAAAAGAAAAAAAGTCTGTGAAGCTGTGTTTCAACATATCAAGGGACAATCACTCATTTTTTCAAAGGTAATCCCCCACAAGCCAGTTATCCTCTCAAATCTCTACCTGCACACAGTGTTTGCATTAGGGACCTTGATTTATGGATCTCCGCTCCTTGGATGGGGAGGCCAACTTCCTGTTGCTGTGGTTACTTAGATCTTGGTTCAAGGTTAAACTACTCCCAAATCAAAATCAGTGGCAGGCACAGCATCTAGCAGCCAGGTTATTGACTACCCTAGGATGCTTAAAGGTCAAAGACCAAAGTGCTGCTCACTGCCTTTGGGGTGAGTCAATATTTTCAATATTTTTATTCTGTTTCTTCTGAAGAAGTAGTTACTGCTCAATTACCACCTATCTGGGTTTGGCAAGGTCATACAAATCATTGAGGAAAATCCTCCTCCTACAGAAGAGATACAAATGTAATTAATTACTTCAAAGTCTACATGGCCCAATTGTGGCTCATCACTGGTGAATCACGGGTTCAGACATCTGTCTCTTGTTTTAGGAGCTTGGTTTCTTCAGCCTGTACCCTTCACCTCACTGAAAATCTCCTCTGTATTGAGGAAGAAGAGTAATTTATGGATCTGGAGCAGTCAATAAGGGAGAGCCATCAGTTTTCTTTCATGGATACCAGAATGCAAACAGAGATTCAGAGGCATTGCTGGAAACACACAGAGGTGCAGCAATTTGCTGACAAATTGTGTTGTGATGCACACTGCTGTAGTGGAACATCTGTCCTTCAGAGGACAGACCTGCTGGTGTAGTATCATCACCTCTCATTGCACTTTTTTCTCTCAGTTGGAGTGCTTTGTTCAGAAGGCCTTAGGTAAGAGAAGGCCCAAGTTCAACCCATCTAAGAATCAGGTGAAAATAAATAATTTGCAACACTATCACAGGGATGTAAGAGTTTAAAATTCATATGCTCATTTGTTGAATCAGTATATTTTA